TGCGCTCTGTACATGGAGCTACCCACCCTGGGAGTCGTGGCCCATTTTATGTGGTTATGTGGTATAGTGTGGTTTGAGACTCGAGACCCCGAAACGGCTCCCTCGTGTTCTCATCCACGGCCCTTTTTCTCAATCCGAGCTCCTTCATTCTATCCTGTGAACCCTCCTAACCCTTGGTTACAACGGGGGTATCCGGGCACAAAATAAAGGTGCAGCCCAGAGGGCGTGGCAACCTCTCTACAGCACAAGCTGTACTCGTGTCGGCCTAAGGGTCGGCATGGGCGGCGGGTGCCTCAGCAGAGTCACGCGAGGGCCAGTGCATTAGATCCTGTCTGCAAAGACGGGAGAGGGTGTATGGCCATCTGTACCACGGGGTAACTGAAAAGTTCCAAATTCAGCCCTAGGGGATGGACACTGGGAATGGATTCGTGGTGGTGCCTGGTGACGCCCTGGCGGGAACTTGTCTAAGTTCTGTCTAGAGGCTGTCTTCTATCTGTGACCTCAGTGAAGCTTGCGTATGGCCAACGTAAAACCTCACGGGAGACGTTGCGACCGGACGACAGCATGTAAGAGTTGAGGACGCAATGATCATGCTATAGTCTCTCGAATGCTTAAGTAAGCAAATGGAAGCGGGTAGTGAATCGGTGTCTCGGACTCGAGTATGCTTTGCATTGTTGTGCGTATGACCGGCGTGGTACCCTTGGGGAAGCGAAGGATCGGACCACCTGGCTGAGCCTATGGCGTCCCTCGAATGCGCGTGACAGGTGTAGGCTGAGCTCGATCAGAGACTTTACCGTAGGCGCTGCTCATCTAGGGGGTGGTTAGCAATTCCACTTTAAATTAAACCGCTGCCGGGGCGTTCCCGGAAGTTTCTACGATAGGGGAGCCCCTGTACTCAGGGAGATAGAGTGGCCTTCTCTATCTAGGGAGTACGCGGGAGAACAGGCTGATATATTTCGGCTTTGCGTGCGGCATACGACCCGATGCACAATGCGGGCCCGACCATTCGGAGTGGACAAGAGGAGAGCGAGGTTGTCTCGGCCCATAGGGGCTGGGGCGCCTCTACACCAATGCTGCGGCGGTAACACCATTCCGTCGTATGCGGAGGTGCGTCAGCTCTCATCTTGAGAATCAAAACGTCCTATAAGGCCATGTGCCAGGTGCGGACGCTAAAGATCCTCTTGTCTTGTTGACGATGAGTACTCGGGAACACAATGTACATGGAGCTATCGAGCTGGTTCCTCGCGATCGAAATCGTACCTTCGAACCGAGGCTATATCTAAAGGTGAAAAACAGCTTAATGGATTTGATGAACGTATAATTTCTTTGTATTCCAGAGGATTATCGGTTCAAGCTCATTTCCAGGAAGTCTATGGGTCAGCGACTTTTATTTCTCAATGGAACTGCGGTGATGGAAGATGTTAAAGCCTGGCAGCAACACCCTCTGAATATACTTTATCCTATTGTTTATCTTGATTGTATTGTCATTAAAATCCAAGATTCCGGCTCTATAATTAACAAATCTGTCTATCTGGCATTGGGATTAATACCCAGGGTGAAAAAGAATTGTTGGGTCCGTGGATAACAAAAAAGTTTTGGCTGTCAGAATGACAGAGCTAAAAAGACCTGCAGGATATCTTCATTGCCTGCTGTGACGGGCTGAAAAGCTTTCCTAACGCCATAGAAGCCCCTTAGACAAGAGTTCAGCTTTGTATTGTCCATCAAGTGCGTTATTCGTTTCGCTATGTCTTTAATGACGCACCCTTATTTTTAATGACATTTTTGGTACAACTTGGATATTTTGAAGAGATTGTTTAGAAATTTCTAATAAGCGGTCATAGCTTTTTCTCATGTGATCGAGATTTCGCCATTATTGAAAAACTGAAAAGGGTTTCCAAATGCTTCACTCCGACAGATTTACAAAATGTTGTGGCATCACCTTAAGTTACAGGGGAACAGTTACAAAGGCTACTGTGATAAAAGTTTCCAAAGATGATCCATGTTTTATCCAGTATAATTCCTCATTCAATGGAACTTGTGGAAACGTGTTAATGTACTAATAAAAAAGGGGCTGTACGTGATGATATTAAAAAAGTTTGTATGACATTGATTCAGAATCCATTCCTGTCGGATGGCAAGAAAAAAGATTTCTCTGCCATGTTGGATTTTTTGCCAGAAACTGCTAAAAAGTATTATCAGAACATTCTAAATAATCCATTTACGTTTTAGTGGTCAATTGACAAAGTTAATTATTTCAATTAATTATTCTTTCTATGTAAGGTCTCGGTTGAGATAAAAGTCAGTGTCACGAGCGGGATTCGAACCCACGACCTTCGGCTAAATAGGCCGCTACTCTGGCACTTGAGCTATCTTTCACTTCGATCCTCTCGGACACCAACTCTCCGTCTCAAGCACAACCGTTCGAATTTTCCCTGCTTTTGCCATTTTCAATTGCGAATCCAATCCTGATTACAAGACATTTGAAAATGCCAAAAAGAGAGAAAATTCGAACGGTTGTAGGTTGAGATCGAGAGTTGGTGTCCGAGAGGATCGAAGTCACGATAGCTCAAGTGAGAGAGTAGCGCGCATTTAGTCGAAGGTCCTGGGTTCGAATCCCGCTCGTGACACTGACTTTTTCATCTCAACCAAGACCTTACATGAAAGAATTCTAAATATTTGAAACTTCACTTGATCTTTATAAGTTAATTTCATCTATAAAATTATTTAGGTTTAACATGTTCTATGTATCAATGTAGTTTTCATTCAGAGAATTCTATGTACCACGGTTTCTTCAATTTCTTTTCTTTTTGTATATTAAGGAGTTTGTTTTTGTTTTTCATTGCATTAACTGCGAAAGAATATACTCCTATATTTCCAATAAAATACATTTCAACAAAGTTTTTGAGTTACCATTTGGCTTACGCAGTTTTATTGCTTTCCTGAAAAAAAAATAACAGAAGGCACTTTGAAATTTCCATTCTTCATTTATTTATAAACTTGTCAATATACTTATTTGAATCCGTGCTTGTATATCGATTTATTATATTAATTTATTTATCTACCCAACTATTTCTACTTAATACACACGCAATACAACCAAACGTACATGTATTTATGTACTAATTAGATAATAATTACATAGTTAAGTACCTATCGATTTTATGCAAATTACCACCATGTTACTTTTTTACTTATGGACCTTCCACCAACATAATACTTAGCAACATATTTAATTTCTACCAATTAAGATTCGTCTCTAGTCATTTTCAGTTTTCAGACGAGAAAGGATACAAGCTGTGACGATCTCTCGTTTTATTTTTATTAGACAATTGTAGCAGTATTTAGCAAAATAATAAGGAGTTTTCTTTTCATGGGCACTCGGTACGCCAGGTTTTTTAATTGAAGAAATAACTAATGCGATAATAATAATCATAATAAAACCAAAAAGGGGTTTAAAATTAGATTAGAAAGGGAGGGGGGTTGAGATGGAGAGTTTGTGTCCGAGAAGATCGACGTCACGATAGCTCAAGTGGTAGAGCAGTGGCGAATTGAGCCGAAGGTCGTGGGTTCGAATCCCGCTCGTGACACTGACTTTTATCTCAACCGAGACCTAACATAGAAAGAATAATTAATTGAAAGAAGTAATTGGTCAATTGACCACTAAAACGTAAATGGATTGTTTAGAATGTTCTGATAATACTTTTTAGCAGTTTCTGGTAAAAAATCCAACATGGCAGAGAAATCTTTTTTCTTGCCATCCGACAGGAATGCCTTCTGAATCAATGTCATACACACTTTTTAAATATCGTCACGTACAGCCCCTTTTTTTAGTACATTAACACGTTTTCACAATTAAAGCAGTGGCGAATTGAGCCGAAGGTCGTGGGTTCAAATCCCGCTCGTGACACTGACTTCTTCATCTCAACCAATACCTTACATAAGGATTAATTAATTGCAAGAAGTTATTTGGTCAATCGGACCACGAACTCTAATGGATTAGATTAGAAAGTTTTTCGAAACGTCAGGGCGTGCAGCATTCGAGATTTTTTTTCAATGAAACCGTCCGACAGGGTTGGCCTATTGACGGTATAACCATGAGTCGACGAAAACTAGTTATGCAAAAGTAAATACATTAAATTATTTTCTCACGGTGATTTTACATTATGAAAAAAAGATTTCAATATAAACGATTGGCTCTTCGCATAAAAAACCAAAAATATCAAACAATTCCTCTTCGCCGAGAGGCAAGGCCAGGATGCCATTTGAGATATATGATATGTACATAGTTATGTTAATTGGCAGTCAAAATTTAAATGCATTTACATTAACATTCGTAGTTTTATGCTAAATAACAAAATCTAGAAGAAAAAAAATCATTTAAAAGAACCGTTTTGTACGATGGTAATATTGATAAAACTACCACTAATCATAGATTGAAAACATTAGGACAATATTAGTCATGATTTAATAGCATAGTAATATGCTACGTGATAAAATTGAATAAATCAAGAACCTTCTCGAATACTTGGATATAAACGGATATATATATTAAACAATTAATGAACATGAAATAACTGCTTGTTCATGAGTGGTTAACATACCAAAAATATGTCGGATGTTCATGTTTTTGAATTTATTTTGTTGGGTCTTTAAATTTTTGTTATAAAATTTTTTTGTGTGTGTTTTTGCTGTTGTTTGCTGTAAGGTATTTTATTTTTGATTTACTGACTTTTTCCTCGATATCTTCTGGAGGCATGATTTGGCTTTTCATGTATTTTAATGAACTTTTTTAAAAACTCAGTTGCTCTTCAGATATTGAATTTCGATGTGCTTCGACCTTGTCTGAGAGAAAAATGAATTATCGAAATCAAAAAGTTTCGAAGCAAGATCAACAGATCAAGTGCAGGGAGGGGACTTATTGCTTAAGTCTCCCACCTGAAGATTTTGGACATGAGTAGAGGGGTCTTAGAGGTCAAGAACCACTATATATAGAGAAAGAGATGTTAGTACAAGCGTCGCATACCGATAAAAAAATCAACATGCTCAAATTCGTACGTGTTTTAAAGTTTAAATTGTTCAAAGTGTGTTTTGTGGAGATTGGGTTTTAAAATTTTGTCTTGTTTGTTTTTATAGGCAGTCCTTTCTCTCCTCTTCGCCGCCGTCTCGGCCGGATACTTGGGAGCCGCTCCCGTGGCTTACAGCGCCGCCCCCGCAGTGTACGGCGCTAGCTACGGCTACGCTCACGCCGCCCCCGTCGCCTACGCTTCCCACGCCGTCGCCGCCCCCGTCGCCTACGCGTCCCACGCCGTCGCCGCCCCCGTCGCCGTCGCTCACGCCGCTCCCGTCGCCGTCGCTCACGCTCCCGTCGCCACCTCGTACGCTAACACCTACAGGACTGTCAACAAGCCCGTAGTCGCCGCTTACGCCGCCCCCGCCGTCGCCACCTACGCCGCCCCCGCCGTCACCACCTACGCCGCTCACGCCGCTCCCGTCGCCGCCGTCGGAGTCGCTCACGCCGCTCCTCTCGCCTACGGACACGGTCTCGGATACTCCGGTCTCTCCTACGGAAGCGGATACGGTTACTCTTCCCTCTACCACCATTAAGCGGTCCATCTTAACTAAAACCACAAGGACCAACTTCAAACACTCGCCAAATTTAAGACTGCCATAGCCCGTAATTTATTCTTAACATCTCAACCCAATAAAGTATTATTTTTTTCAATAGTAAAAATTTAGTAATTTATCATCAAAAACCATATTTCCTTTCAACTTTTAGAAGCTTACGAAGCAAAAAGCTGCTGTTTTGAATTATTTCGTTTCCTTATAACTCAGCACTTCTGACGAATCAAAACGAACTCCTCAAGGAGAAAGAACTGAATTCTACGATCGTCCAAAGACTTGTCTATCTTTCTTTTATCAATACTAACATGAAGATATTTTTGCAACTTTGCTTTTTGTACTAGAAAAGATTAATGGTAGTATAAATTCAAAAATCTTTCATAATTCATCCAAAAGTTCACTTTAATTATCTCACACAGATCAACTTCAAACATTGCCAATCTATAGATAGACAAAAACCCGTAATTTTTCTTAACATCTCAACCGAATAATTAAACATTAACGATTTAGTCATTTGCTAAATATCTGATCAAAAAATATTATCAGAAAGAATGAAATAAGAATGAAATCAATCCCACATTCACTCAAAAAATGTGTTTTTTTCTTTTATATAAGCTGTTATTTTGAATTATTTATGTCCTTCCATAACTCAACAGTTATGTCTGATCAAATTTTAATCCTCACGAAAAATAAATACAGTTACAAGATCGTTCCTAAACTTTTTAAAATATATTTCATTCATAATTGCTAACGTGAAGACGTTTTTGTACGTACTTCACCTTGATTAGGGTATTTTGAAAAAGTTCAATGATAGTAAAACTTCAAAAAAATTCCACAAATCGCCACTCTTTGTTAATTCTCTGAAACCACGTGGAACAATTTCGAACATCTACCAAACTTTAAACTACCAAAGTCGAATTTCATAAAAACTAAATTTCCCTATCAATTACTTAAGCTACAAAAAGCTGCTGTTTTGGATAATTTTTTGTGAGTACAAAACTCAGGATTTCTGCTGGTACAAAGCAAAATCCTCGGAAGAATGTACTCATTTCTACGAATGCTCACAAACTTTAAACTACCACAGACGTATTTCACAAAAAATAAAATTCTTTATTAATTATTATGCTAATGAAACAAAAAGCTGCTGTTTTGGCTTGTTTTTTGTGAATACAAAACTCAGGATTTCTGCTGGTACAAAGCAAAATCCTCGGAAGAATGTACTCATTTCTACGAATGCTCACAAAAAATAGCTTAAACTACCACAGACGTATTTCACCAAAAATAAAATTCTTTATTAATTATTAAGCTAATGAAACAAAAAGCTGCTGTTTTGTCTTGTTTTTTGTGAATACAAAACTCAGGATTTCTGCTGGTGTAAAGCAAAATCCTCGTAAGAATGTACTCATTTCTACGAATGCTCAAAAACTACCACAGTCGTATTTCATAAAAAATTGAAATTTTTTTAATGAATTATTAAGCTAATGAAACAAAAGCTGCTGTTTTGGATAGTTTTTTGTGAATACAAAACTCAGGATTTCTGTTGGTGTAAAGCAAAATCCTCGCAAGAATGTACTCATTTCTACGATTGCTCAAAAACTTGTCCTCTCTCTCTCTCTCTCTCTCTCTCTCTCTCTGTCCCTCTCTCTCTCTGTCTCTGTTTCTCTCTGTCTCTCTCTCTCTCTCTCTCTCCCTCTCTCCCCTCTCCCCCTCTCCCTCTCGCACTCTCTCTCGTCTATTATTAATCATTTTCAAGTTCATTGTTAATTTATGCAAAAGTTCAAAAATATTCCACCAACTGCCACTAAAAAGTCTCATAACTTTAAAACTACCAGAACCACCTTAAAACACTACCATCTTCCAAACATTCACAGTCATATTTCATAAAAACTATTTTTTTTTAATTACTAGAACTTACAAAAAAAGCTGTTGTTTTGGATCATTTTATGTCCTTCTATAATTAAACAGCTTGTCGGATCAATTCACCGCGAAGAATGTATTATTTCCCATGATCGCTGTAAAACTTGTCTATTTTTCATTATTACCAACTTGAAGACATTAGCAATTTTACTTTTAAGGTCAATGATGGCAGTACTGCAAAAATTCATCATCGACCAATCGATGGCCTGAAAGTGACAAGATCCTCAATTTAAAATTTAAAATGCTGGTTTAATGTATAAAAGAAAAGTGCTTTATTCGAGGATTTGATATTAATCGTATAAGTAAGGTAGAGAAAATGATTTTTCAAGAAATACTTTTGAAACATTAAGATTATAGCCCCAATTGGATCGCAACACCCTAATTAATAAACCTGATATTTGGATTGCAAAGGCACGTCGTTTTGTGAAAAAAACACTATCCAGATTCCATTCAGAATTTAGCCGTAGAAACTTTTCCATTGAAGTGATGATTGAACCAGGTGTCAAAGTGACTCCCAAAGATTTGTATGTTTTAACAACCATTCGAGAACCTCCATAAAACCACTTCTCCCTTGACTTTAGCCTACCACCCTGAACATCATCATTTTAGGTACGGAGTTAGATGCCAGTTATAGCAATTTTTTTTTGCTTTGTTTTGGAACATTCAGCAAGAGTACGGACCTATGAAATATCAAATTCCATTTTTTAGCATGACTAGAAATTCATAAAGCAATAAATAAATAACAAGTAACGAGAGCAATAAAGATTGATCGACACAATAAGTACTAAGAATAAAAAATTTCGGTGCGAAAACAACAACAGCAAAGGATAACAACAACATGAATAAATAAAGGTGCAGACCTACCAAATAACAAATTACATTTTGACAAAACTAACAATTTGAAGACACAAACTAATAAATAAATAACAAGTAACAGATGCAATAATTAACTATCAACTAACTACAATAAATACTACAGAATAAATACAGATCAAACGCTGGGGAAGCTAATAGCCGTCCTACGAGGAGGGGATCTCCGCCGGCCGCAGAAAGCCATCCCCGGGGAGGCTCTCGTCCACAGTTTTACACAATTTAAAAGGCTACTGTTCTTCATAAAACCGGTGTTTCAGGAGGATGTGGATAAAAACCATTTAGAAAATATGACGCATTGTCCTATGGAAAAGTCCACATCCCCCCCACATCCCGGGGACTAAATGCCCAACGCGTTTAGAGAGCCCGACCCGAAGACAGCTCCGCATCTGGGCTGAACCCCAAGGGGATTGAACCGACCTCTACCTTAACGATTTCACGTTTACACGTTGATGCCACTATTTTGTAAGAAAGAATATATGACCTGGTATACGTCCACTCTTGGCTCAACAATTTCAGCTGAATGACAATTTTTCCCTGGACAATATCAAAGAGTGGCCACTTTTACACTCAAAATTAATTAACAATATCCGCACTTCTCACACAGTGAAATGTCTCCTCCATGCTCATAATTCCTCTAGATTTTTGCTCTATAAGGACCTTAATATCAGTCAACCTTTCTTGAACATAGCGCAAGATTCTAAAATTCCGTCCATTCCGCTAGCTCGCTGGTTTTTCAAAATTAGGTGCGAGTTACTGTACCTCAATTATAACCTCACAAGAGTCAATAGTTCCGATAGGTGCTCTCTCTGCAACAGGCAGGCTCGAGAAGACTGTTTCCATTTTCTAGCAGAATGCCCGGTTTTAGCTGAGTTCCGATCACGGCATATAGGCTTGCCCACGTTGACGAGAGAGCACCTAATCTCTTTATTAAATAACCCCGAGTCTTTAAATCAGGTAAAGTTTGCGATGGAAGCCTGGAACTACGGGAAAACGCTTGTTTTTTATTTCAACTATTAAATGTTTACTGTATATATCAGAGACACCCGGTTATTTATATGTGCATAAATAAATATGTTGTTATTTTAGTTTATTTATATAGTTTTTTCTCTCTCTTTTGTTTATTCCTTAAGAAGAAATATGTTCCTTGTTTATTAAAAATTTATGGTCCGACTCCGGCAGACGGTTGATAACCATTGCCGAAATGTGCTTTTTGATTATGTACAATTTTTTTACTCCCTTTTGTTTATCTAATAAAGTATTCATTCATTCACGTCCACTCTGTTAAGAGCAAGTAGGCTCTCCCAGCTGATCGGTTTGTTGATTTCTTTTATGTTGTACAGATTTTCAAGGAAGTCTATTCTGGTAGACTCGTATTTTGGACGCTCTAAAATCAAATGCTTGATAATTTCTGGTTGATCACAGGTGGCACAGTTTGGACGCTCTACGATTTATTTTCTGCAAATAAGCCCCGCAAATGTAGTGGTTGGTGCGTATCCGAGTCATTGAAGAATAAAATTTTTTGCATCCGAATTTGGATGTTGCAAACCATGGGATGGAGCGCAATTCTGGGTGTAGCGATTTGTAAAAGTTTCCCGCTGTTCCACTGTTGTACCAGTTGCGCCACTCCACTAACCAGTGTTTGTTTAAGGTACGTTTCGCATCTGTCTTTGGCAGTAGCAATATTTTTCCAGTTTATATTCAATTGAAGAGCAACTGGGCTGATGGCTATAGGCACACCACCTGCATATCGGTTAATTTTTGTATTTCCGACCCTAACCCCTCCGTCAAGAATCGGTGGCAAATCGTTAAGTGCAAAGAAAAAAGTATGGGGCTTAAAAGGTTTTATGTATTAAAGAGCATCTTCGTCCAGGATCCAAATGGTCTGCTGTATTCTTGCGTCAATAATCAACTTTATTGTATAATTAAATTATTTGAGTAACGATGTTTTCTTATATTTCGACCTCAACAGTTAATCTTATGATTTTTCCCTCTTGAAGGTGGGATAATAGGCCATCTCAAAAAACCACAACCAGTTTTTATCCACACGTTTCGGATTTATTTTAATCCTTCCTCAGGTGAGATAACGCCTGTACACAGAACAAATATTTTTTTGAAGAAACAATGATAACCATGTTGATATAAAAATGTAAAAAAAAAATTTGTGTGGATAAAAACTGATTGTGGTTTTTTGAGTTGACCTATTATCCCACCTTCAAGAAGGAAAAATCATAAGATTAAATTATTTATTCAGAAAACTAATGGTTCATTATTAAATTAGTTTCTGAACTTTTTAACGATAATTTTGCTTACTTAATAAATATAATAATAAACTGTTCATTTTTCGAATATATTCAATATTTTGCTAATTTTTTGTATTAATTATTTGACATTGATTTCAGACAAATTAGTGCGATGGTAGATGAAAGGTAAAATAACACTTTTAGATCGAAAGTACTCATCTGTACCAGATTTTTAGATTTCTGGGTTTCGAGTTCGGGCGCCAGTTCATTAAAAACATTTCAATAGTTAACTTTAAATATGAGAAAAATAATATAAAGACTTATTGATATTTCATAACCGGTCCAGGGCTACTTTTATAGCTTGTCTAAATGGCAAATACCACAGATTGAAAATATTTAAAAAAAATTCCAAGGAGTGTGTTCCAGCTCCAAGTGAACCAGTTGAGCGAATTTGAGAAAAGGACTGGATCAGTATTTTATATTTGTATATTCTATTAAATAAAATATTTATACTGGGAGGTGACCTACTTTCAAATCCAACAGGGTTTGCAGTATTCACGCATCAATAATTTACCTCGCACATCTCTAATACAACTGTTAGGTTTTTTTTCTGCAAAGTAACAAATGTCGCTTATAATGGGAGTGGATATTGCAAAATTTGTCTCGGGGAGCATGCGTTCTTGCAATAATTACCTTTTTACGACGGCAAAACCGGAAGGGCGTGTTTCTCCGTTGCGTCGTATCCAGAAAGTCTGAATCGGCCTGTCCTTGGTGTACATTTTTCTCTCTCTTTAGTAAAATGTAACGGGTAAAAAAAAGATAAGTTATTCCTTTGTACTATATCAGATAATGACGTAAATAAAAAAAAATATAAATCGAGAATTTATTACCGCATGGAGGTAAAAATTTCCAGTGATAACATAAAATCCATTTTGGAGCAGCATCACCAAAAACCCTACAACATAATCCGAGCAATAGATAAATGTTAAATTATCAATTGAAAGAATCATAAGAAGCAAATACACAATTCAATCAACCAGAAAAACCACAAATCGTAAATCGTCACGCTAGGCCAAGGCTTATTTTCGTACTATAATCACTCGTTCATAATGTATCAATAAACTTTAACACATAATTGAATATTTTACGAACACTCTGGATCAAGTTATGGTCTTGAAAAAGAAAGCAAATTCAGTTGTTACTGTCAAGCTTCGACCTATTTTAAGGTCATCATCAGGGCAAAACAATCTTGAGTCTATACGTCTATATCTGATGATGACCATAAAATAGGTTGAAAGCTTTGCGAACAACTGAATTTGCTTTCCTCTTCAAAATCATACTTTGATCCAGTGTTCTTGAGTGAAAAAGAGGTCGATAATTTTAATAAAATAAAATTGATTAACATGGTGATTGATACGAAAATCTGCCTTTGTGTCATCAATATTTGAGACTAGGAAAAAAGCTGATCGATTTCATGAGTTTAATTAAAAACGTCTCAGTTATCATCATTGCATTGCGCTTACTTCCAGGAGTTTTCAAAGAAATTTTATTGATTGAATAATGCTCTAGTTATATTAATGTGACGACCATCTGCAGAAGGAGGTCATCCTGTACGATTCGAAGTTGATTCTTGTCCTCGGTTGTCTTCGTGTGAACTTTGTAGACCAGGTGTTTTATGGAATTTTTTTTGTAGTAATTGTTACGTCAGGGATATTGTATTGTCTTTAAATTAAATAAAAGCCGCAGAGGAATTCACGAAGGTTGTCCTAAAATGGTTATCAAACCGCAAAGTACTCTCGTTTCTTCCATTTTAGAGGAGTGCGATGTCTGTTTCGAGGACGAAAGGATTGTCTCACGACTGTTCGGTTCATCCATTGAAGAAATTCCGATCTCGTGCAAATAGTCCATTAGTTTCCATTTGGAAAACGTCGAAAACGGGTTCTTCAAGGACTCATGGATAGTATAGTTTAAAATAAACTCAAAATCTAGCTGGAGAAATCGATTTGTTGATTAATTTCTCATTGATCCGATATGACACGGTTTTTGACGGTTGTTTCAATCTAATGGAATCTTTCCAAAGAAAAATAAGACAAAACAGGAAAAAGACCGTTCTCCCTTTCGGTCTTGGTACGAGGGAGAACAAAGAGAGGTGAAAGGGATAACAGGCCGTACAGGAAGGGTACGGGTAACCCTGGGAAAAACTCTGGTGGGAGGGGTTCGACACAACTATATATACCTAGATTGTACCTTTTGGTATCATTGTACAATCACAAGTGCAAACAACAACATGTTCAAGTTGGTAAGTGAAGAACGATACTTTAAACTTTAAAGGATTAAATTGTGTTACTGATTTGAAAAATGTTTCAGGCCGTCCTCCCTCTCTTCTTCGCCGCCGTCTCGGCTGGTTATTTGGGCGCTGCCCCCGTCGCTTACAGTGCCGGATACGGTGCCGGTTACGGTTACGGTGCCGGTTACGGTTACGGAGCCGGATACGGCCTCGCCGCCCACGCCGCTCCCCTCGCCACTGTTGGAGTCGCTCACGCCGCCCCCTTGGCTGTAGCTCACGCCCCAGTCGCCACCTCCTACTCTAACACTTACAGGACGGTCAACAAGGTTGTCGCTCCCGTCGCCGTCGCTCACGCCGCCCCTGTCGTCGCCGCTCCCGTTGCCGCCGTCGGAGTCGCCCACGCCGCCCCCGTCTCCTACGGACTCGGATACGGACGTACTCTCGGATACGGATACGGACACGGACTCGGATACGGTCACGGTCTCGGTCTCGGATACGGATACGGCCATGGCCTCGGCTACAGCGGTCTCTACCACCACTAAATTTCAACCCTTCAGAAATTTAAATCAACCGCATAAAAAAAGACTGTATTTATTACTGCAATAAATATTTTGCAAAAAAAACTTTTTGTTCACATTTTCTTTATATTTCTTATTATTATTACTAATCCAATTTTTGTTATTATTAATATTTCTATTTAAAATTGATGTATGTTTGTTTGCACCCTTTGGTAATAGGGACATAAACAAAGGTCATAAAACAATATACCCACCATAATTAGGACTATTCAGAATTTAATCAATACTTTTCATTTAGACAGGTACAAACATTAAACATTAATTATTTGAAAATATCTCTTACAATGCAAGCGTCTGAATCATGAATAATTTAATTATTTTCTCGCAAGGCCATTTATAAATTCTTTTCTAATTTATGGTGAATATTAATATTGATAAGCTAATCCTCTACTAAAATACTAAATGTACAAGCAGTTTGATTAATTAGATTATATATTTTTGCAACAAAAAATCATTAAGAATATCTACTTTGTTTTGCTATCTTCGGTGATTTCTCAGCTTTTTGGCCACGACTGGAATAAAATGCTACTTAAGAATGCTACTGAAGCAGTATGTAGATGTTATTACTTCCTGTCTGACAGATATTTTAGAGTTTAGAGAACAATATTCAGAATTAAGCCCAATAATTTACTTGCTATACATAAGTGATTTTCTGAAAATGGATGTTGTGAAAATTGCAAAGTTGGATGTAGTGATATCAGTAGGACCGGGCATCAAATTCTTCCAAAATCTTTCAAAAGCATTTAAAAAAATAAATAAATGGAGGATCAGGCTCTATCAGCAAACAGACCCCTCGGAAAATCCAGGTGAACGTGAGTATTGTCTATCTCAAAAGGAGTTATTTCTAGATAAAATATGAGCCAGGAAAGCTCAAAGTGGTTTAAATTGACACCGGACTGGCCAACTAGTCAGAAGGTTGAGACATAGACTGCGGTAGAAGCTCAAAATTAACTGTAAATAATAACATAAATTATTGCAAGTTTGAGAAGTAGTTTTTTTCGGGGCTATAATATTTTGTCGATTAGCACATGTGGTTTAGTAATGATTATAAAGATAGGTATACAACCGGTGCTAAATTAAGTTTAATAGATTCGATTCTTATTTTATGAAGTAGAAGGTCATTACCTCATTTATAACAGGCCATCTAGGTACCCTAGACAGTCTCAGTTTTGTGGTTACTCCTTTCTTTTGCATAACCTTTTGCATAAACAGGGTCACTGTTTAATATAATCATGTTGTCTAGGTGATTGTGTAGATGCCTATGGCCCAAACACTCTCCCAAATTGTGCTCTGTTTAGCTGTATTAATGTGTATGCTAATTTCGACGAGGGTTTTTTAAAATCTGGCTCCTCTGTAGATCCTTCATTCCCCTTTTTGCTTTTTGTGGATCCATTCTCAGGTGGACAAGTTGGTTTTGTCTTATCAAAATTATAAGTTCTGGGCTTGTAATTGGTCTTGCAGATTTTCCTGTTGACAGTTCACCTGTGCCTAGACACCCATGACTGTTAAATTTAAATCATTTACTTTTTAATGGTCAATTGACAAGTTACATATTTCAATTAATTCATTCCATGTAAGGTCTTGAGTAGGTTGAGATAAAAAAGTCAGCGTCAGAGCGGGATCGAACCTACGACCTTCGGCTAAATAGGTCGCTACTCTACCACTTGAGCTATCGTGACTTCGATCCTCACGTACACCTCCATCTCAACCTAAAACTGTTCGAACCTTCCCTTCAGCTTAGAGAGGGGATTTGATAAATAGGAGAAAAAGTGTTGGTGCTAGTATGGAACCTTGGGGCACTCCGGCGGTTATAGGAAAAAGGTGCAGCGGTAAACCTTCCAAGTGTGCAGAATATGATGAGTTGAAAATCACTGCATCAATTGAATCTTAAATTACAATTAATTAAGGTTTTTAGTTGAGATAAAAAAGTCAATGGCACGAGCGGGATTCGAACCCACGATCTTCGGCTAGATACGCCGCTGTTCTACCACTAGAGCTATCGAGACCTCGATCCACTCGGTCACTAAATTCACATCTAAACTGTATTATAAAATTGTAATATATTAATTGGTCAAGCGGACCACGAAATTTGTGAATTTAATGATTGAAAATGAAGTATACTTCACTAAAGCTCTCCGTGGCCATTTCATTTGTCGTCGAGAATCCAATCCGATTACACGACATTTGAAGAAAAATGGCAAGGAGGGAAAATTCAAAAGGTGAGGTTGAGATGGGAAGTTAGTGACCGAGTGGATCGAGGTCATGATAGCTCAAGCGGTAGAGCAGCGGTGTATCTAGTCGAAGATCGTGGGTTCGAATCCCGTTCGTGCCGTTGACTTTTTATCTCAACTAAAAATCTTAATTAATTGTAATATATATTAATTGGTCAAGCGGACCACGAAATTAGTGAATTTAATGAATCTTATATCTTGGAAAGCGTAAAGCTCCACAGATCTCCGACACAATGCCAAGAACTTCCAGCTTGATAGACGACATTGACTTTTTTGCTTTTGGAAATAGTTGATTTTCCTCTTTCAGACGAGGAATCGACGAGTTGGATGTGAGAATGAGGGATGGGTATCGAACCCAAAAATATCAATGTTTGACATCGGTAATGATTAGAAAGTAAAATATCGAAGGCTACAGAAAATAAACTTATGTACTTAAAAAATAATAATAAACTTGCCAAAATTAAAACACAGCGAGAATTGCAAAAAAAAACACTAGTATTAACAGGCTAAAGAATAAGCAATAACTAAAACATTAAAATGAAAAACAGTGAACAGAAAAACCTCCCTTTTCCCTACTCCCTAGGCACTAATTCTTCCCTGGCTTCCTTCTATTAATTTTAATGATGGCATCGTCTATCGATGAAGTCTTGGATCTTTTCAAGCGATCATAAATCGTAATTGCATTTAATATAATAAGACTACAACAGATTTTAAATTTTTAATAATATTGTTTGATCAGGTCCTTGATGGTTCGGGCTAAAACATGGATGTTACACAAAAATAGGATGGTTGGCTTTATATATACCCATCCCTAGTGAGAAATAAGGCCTAAAGATACCTTTAAACTTATAACTTCTAACCTTACCAAAAGGTTTTGATTTGCCAAATCAACTTCTTTCTTAAATCCATTATATTTCGTGGTCTGATTGACCAAATAATTTCTTTCAATTAATTAATATTTTTATGTAAGGTATTGGTTGAAGTGAAAAAGTTAGTGTCACGAGCGGGATACGAACCCACGACCTTCGGCTCAATACGCAGAGCACCGGCGAATTGAGCCGAAGGTCGTCGGTTCGTATCTTGCTCGTGACACTAACTGTTTCATTTCAACCATACCTTACACAAAAAGATTATTTCTTAAATGTTACTTTGTCACCATCTTAACACTATGGTAGAAAATCATGTCATTTAAGAAAATTGAAGAGGAGCAGAAGACAATCTTAGGACAGACCTTTGTACACATCAAAGATTTGCAAACATCCAGTAGTTGACATGTTTACTTGCTGTTTCCCTTATATCTTCATGATTGCAAAAAAAAAGTTCGAAAGTAAGTAACTAACTGTAGAATAAAAGAACAGAACATACCAGCTTTTGCGTTTTGTTAATTTTTTTTAATGAATCCATAGTTGGAAATGTTTTTAATTTTTCTCACTTTCTTTCCAGGGAGGAGGGGTATGGACGAAAGCAAAACCAATGACAACTGCACAATCCCATTTAATTACAATATTCTGAACGAGTCCAATGTGATCCGATGTGATGATGTCCAATCAACCGTGGAACGCATGTAGTCCGTAGCCGTAGACTGCCGGAGGGTGATAGGCGTGATAGCCGTGGGAGTAGTGCTCCTGGCTGTTGCCGAGGGCGTAACCGTAGGCGAGAGGTGCGTATGCCACTACGGGCTTGTTGACTGTACGGTACGAGCTGGAGTACGACGTGGCCAACGGGGCAACCAACGGAGTCAACGCGTGACCGTATCCGGGACCGTAGGCCAGATACCCGGCAGACGCCACTGCCACAAGAAGAGAGAAGACTGCCTGGAACGAAAAAATTACATTTATGAAAACTAATGCAGTTCAAGAAACAAACAAACAAACACAACTCCCTGGTTTCTTGCTCTGGTCATAGATTTATTTAAAAAGAACTAAGATAAGAACCCATCTGGTCGTTTGGATACTAGGAAGCGAGGTTTGCACTCCCCAGGCAGCCTGCAGCCTTCTGGCCTATTGTAACTTACATCTGGTCGTTACAAAAAGTCTTTGAACATTAATTAATTGGTGATACTAAAGTTTCCAGTTTAATTCTTATTCTATTCTGATGTAAACAATGCATCGTTGTTTACTCTGACTAATCTTTTATTTAATTATGTGTACCAACTGACTCTGCCTTCCATTCCGCAAATGTCGTAAGAAAAGTTGTCGTTTGTGGTCTACTGAGGCTACTGGAAAAAATAGACTAAGTGCGAAGGCAGCAGCCGAGGAAATTTGTGCAGCGGAAGGTGAAGGTCGTGCATCGTAACAGTGTTCAATTTTGGGAACAACAGTCTTCAAGATGAGCTTACATCTGGTAATTCTTCAGTGGTGGATGATGTTGAATTACTCAAGTCAGTCAGTAGAGATCCGTATGCGACAACTCGAGGATTATCGACCGAAACTGGGGTTTGAAATGCAACTGTAAGCCGCCATTTAAAAAAGCTTAATGTCCGAAATATACGACCCCGATCAAATCCTCACGACTTGTCAGCCGCCCAAGCTCAACAACGAGTCGATTTCTCAAAGTTTGCTTCAAAATCCAAAAGATGATTTAAAAAATCCTATTTCCCGAAAACAGTGGGTAGTACAAGGCCAAGAAGTTCAAGCAGAGGTTCGCCAATTTGGAAAAAAGTTATGCTTTGTGTTTGGTGGAATTGTGAGGGTGTTTTGCGCTTAGAGCTGGTTCCAGATGGCAGGGCTATTGACGCAGAGCTTTACCGTGAACAACTCCAAAGTTTATTTATGGGGTTTTAAAAGAGAAGTACCCTGCTTTGCTCAATCGG